TTCTTTGCTTTTAATATAAAAATTCCTGATAAAGTTGCCTTTATTTTATTTTCTTGATAAACGACATTCTATTTAAATTGCAACGAAAATAAGTAAATTACAAGAAAATGACTAGACTATTTCCAATGGTACATCAAAATTAAGAAAAAAATGAATTATGAATAATATTTCTTAAAATTTAAGGGAACCCTATTCACATTACTCGTTTTTGAATTGTACTTTTTTATTTACAATTTGATCTCTAAAAATTTATAACTTTCATTTTGTACATAAATAAACTTAAAATATTTATAAAGGCAATTTCATTTTCTCCTTATTCAAAAGGTTTTGTACTCAAAACTAAAACTAAATTTTGTATTTTTTTTTTTTTGCTTCTAAATTTCGAAATAAATTAGAATTTTTTTATTGAAGATTTTATGGACAACAATTATTAAAGAAAAACGAAAATATTTTTTTTGAAGTTTTTTTTTTCTTTCTTTAAAACAGAAAAACAAAAAGAAATGAAATTTTTTCTTTTTTTTTTTAAATGAGAAAGAATAAAACTTTAAAAAAGTAACGAAAAAACTATTTTTATGTCATGGTACCGTGATGATAAATGTCACCAACATACCCTCTTCCTCACCACACTTGACGAGGGCACTTGTGGGGGTTGCAATCAGTCGAAGTACTGTGTGTTGCGTTGCATCGAATGTGATTTTTGCTTGGACTTTGGTTGCGCTACTCTGCCGAGAAAGATAAAAAAACAGGTGTGATGACCATTTTCTATCGCTCTGTTTCGGCGAGAAGGTGATCGGTAACTATTGGTGTGAGATTTGCGAGACCAAAGTAGATCCGGAGAAATGGCTTTACACATGTGAGGATTGTGTACTTGTGTGCCATGTTCAATGCATGCTCGGGGAGCTTCCGAATGCAAAGCCAGGAGTCAGAATGTAAATAATACAACTGTGGGTTATATGCTCATATCATATATGTGTCCCACTGGGTTATCTTCCAAAGTGATAATGTCTGCATTCTATGCGACAAGGAGTGGCACGGCGCTTGCACCCCAAGCTCACCAGAGGATATAAACCACCCTTGCCACCCGATCCACCCGCTTAAGCTTCTCGTTGAAGGACCACCTAAATACTCCAAAGGGAAATCCC